CACATGCTTGATGATGTGTTGAGGCTGAAATGGTTTTATTTGCTTCAGGATCCCAAATAATACAATCACCATCAGAACCAACAGCTATACGACCTTTTTTAGGATAAATATTAAATATACGTGCTGCATTTGAACTTGTTACAGCAACAAATTGATTGATATCAAGTTTTCCAGTTTCAACACCTTTTGTCCAAATAACTGCTAAACGATCTTCAACACCATTGACACCATTTGGAATCTTACAAAAAAATATATATTTATATTAAGTGAAAATAGAAAATATCTTTTGTTTTTCTTTTACTTTTCGAAAATCATCTTTTCCAAGAGCTTTTTGGTTAGCATTAAACGTACAATGATCAGTACCAGTTGCTGATAATGAACCACTAGAAAAATTAATGATGTTTTAAATGAATGTTTAAATAAACACATCTTACTTAGCCAATAGATCCATTAGATAAGGACCAGTTGTTGCATCATTACGCAAAGGTGGTGACATTACATGAGCGGCTGCATGACGCCAACATTTATGAAAATATTGCGATCCATCAACTCCTAAGCTTGCTGCAATAGGTTCACCAAATACAACTTGACCTAATCGAAAAATAAAAATATCAATATTATTCAATAAGAACTACTAAGATAAAAAGAATAATCATGTACCTTTTAATCGAGCTTCCGTAACTTTATCAGCTGCTGTTTTACTCATAACATGCACAACATAGAGTGGACATCTTTAAATTTGAAATAAAATTTTATTTAATATAAAAGTTATTTTTTTACCGAGTTTGTTCAGCAATAGTAATAGCTCGATTTGTGGCTTCAGCTTCGAGCTAAAATAAATTAAAACTATCTATTATACACAAAATATCGATTAACATTATCTATATTTACTTTTTCCGGTCGACTAAGAAGATGACCTTCAGGTCCTGTTATACCTAATTGTGACATTTCTTTTTCTAATTCAGTTATTACGGAACCATTTTCAGCATGCACCATAGCAATAGCACCTAGCTCACGACATTTACTAAATACTTGAAAAATTTCATCATCTTGTAACATAAAAACATCTTTATAAGCCATGAAAACTTTAAATGAATTAACACCTAAAAAAATCATTGTAAAATATAAATATTCAACTAACATTAATTTCTATCAATAGAAGAAGAACCTTTTTCTTTCGTAAGTTTTTCCATATCTTTAGCAACTTGTTCATTCCATGTTGTGATAGCAACATGTAAACCATAATCACAACAAACTTTAGCATCAGCTCGTTCGCGCCATTGTGCATAAGCTTCAAGAAGTGATTGTTCTTTTGCAGGAATAACAAAATCAACTATAAATAAACAAAAAAAAAGGGTTTTGCTTTAAAATCAATATAAATAGTATTTAACAATGTGATGTAATTTTTTTTGTGCCTAGTCAGTAATAATTGAAAGAATGATACACAGTTAATCACTTTTTTAAGGCTGAGATCAAATGTGCAAATGATGTAATATTCTTATAAGAAAAAAATGCGTGATTGTATATATGGACTAAATCATTGGCTAGTGACGTGACATCGCAATATTAAAACGTATATGTCTAGGTATAATAAATTTTTCTAGAGTTAATTTTTATATTTTATATATATGTTAAGTAAATTCTAGATACCCGAGAAAAAAATTTGACCTAGAGACCTTGGTTCAAAGGCGTTATTAATAAAAACCAAGGGTTGTCGACGTGACTAAAACAAAGGACATCCATATTCACTCTTTGCATTTAATTTTAACGAAAAAACTCCAGTGTCTATAAAATCTCTATCTATAGATTTTTTTGAATACATCTAACTTTTTCAAAAAAATTCAAAATTAATTCCCAAAACAAAATCAGTTTTTTAAGAGGAAATTTTTAAAGATCGATCTTGCTAATAATTGATTGTCAATTAAAACAGCCAAGGAATTTATATATGTCTATGCCAAAAGAACTTATTCAAAAAAGTAATTCTTGTAAAGAATCAAAGTCAAATGAAAGATGAGTATGTTCTTTTCTGCCTGAAATTGCTCATATACAGAAAATATCTTCTAAGAATAATATTTATTTGCTTATATTAATAATTTTATTGATTGCATGTTCACTTCAATAAATATGTATATATGATGAGTGATGTACATATCTTTTATCAACTGTGGTTCGTCTTTTATGATATTATTATCATGATTGACGATAATATCATTTATTGGGTGAAAACAGATTCTTTCTTGATGTCCCTCTTTTGGACATGAGAAGTTAATACGACAGGTCAGGTGAATAAAAGAACACATTGAAAATATAAAAGAAAAACACACATATAGTGACAATTTTACGATGAATAATGAAAGAAAATAAGTCGATAGTATTATTTCACACATCATAATCGAACTCATAAAAAAGAAAAGTAAAAATATTTTATTTTTATTTATTTCATTGATTTGTTGGGTTTCTTATCTGATTAGATATTCTATGGCTGACATTATTTTTATTACTATTGGTACTACAATTGGTACAGTATTATTATTATTATTTATATTGATAATAATAACAATAATTTATTGTTATAAAAGTTCTCATCATAATCCAACAATATCAAAACAAGAAGATTTTCTTCATTCAGTGATTTCTAATTCATCAATAAATAATGATTATCATAATAATGTGACATTACGAGCATCAACTCGACGTTTTGCACTCGTCGAATTACAACAACAAGAACAAGAACAAATTCTAGATCCTTTACAAACATTTACTTATGAAAATCCTTCTTGTAACTTAAGTGAATTAACAAATACAAAAACAATGCGATTTTAAATTTTTTTTATATACATACGTATTGTTGTTGTACCACCAGCAATAGCTGCTTTTGTACCGCTAAGAAAATCATCAATTGATTTTGTACCCATAAAAGGTAATTCAAAATGAGTATGTGTATCAATACCACCTTACAAAAAGAAAGCCAAAGTTCTTTCAAATAAAAATCTTCACATTAATAATTACCTGGCATAACTAATTTGCCTGTTGCATCAATTGTTTTTGTTCCACCTGGAACTACAAGATTAAGACCCATTTGTCTATTAAGAGAAAAACAATATTAAACAAGATGAGTTTATAGAAAAATAAACAAATGAATCACTTACTTAATAATACCTTCTTCAATAAAAACATCTGCAAGTGTTGTTCCATCATCATTAACCACTCGACCACCTTTGATTAACAGACGTTGTTGAGATGACTATGAAAAAAAAAACATAAGTGTTCAATAAAAATGCAATAGTAAATAAATGTGTCATTATGTGTGTATATATATATATTATTCACTTTCTCACCACAATATGATTTTTGCTAAATTTAGAAACAGATACACCTAATGGCGCATTTGAATCCGGATAATTTGTTCTTACAACAAATTCCGGTTTATCTTTTTTTTCTGATGTTGACTTAACATTAGTCGAAGGAACAATAATTTTTGTTCGTTTCGCAGACGAAGAATTTGTTTCTGTTTTCACTTCTGACATGTTAGATTCATTCATCAATGATTCGTATTTTTTTTCTTGCATACAAACTCATATAATGTCCTATAAAAAAAACAAAACACCAGCTGGCACCATACATTAGTATTGATCGTTGTGTCTTGTGCCATTGATGGAATAATAGTGAATAGTGTTCGTGCATTTCCTGGCCTTGATGCAGTCGTTATTGATGAAGGAAAAGACGATGATTGTTGTGTATTTTTAATAACATAAAAATTCGATTCTGGATTTGAATTATGTATCATTTGATCATTATCAGTTGTTGAAGGAATATAATAAAAACAAGCATTAGATGAAGCTGTTTGATCTTCAACATCTGATAATGATGACGACATGATTCTAATGTTTCTATGCCAGGCTAAGTTCAGAAGTTATTTGGTTAGAAATATTTTTTCTATTATTAACATCTCGGCTAGGCGTTTCCTTTCCTCTTCTTTTTCTTTTTTTCTTGTATTCTCTATCTTTTTATGTCTGTTCATCATGCTTATTTCTTTTTTTTTTTGCTATTTTTCGTTCTGTCTGGATAGAAAAGGAAGCACTATATCATTATTAATAGATCCTATCGGTAACAAATTTATTTGTTGATAAATAAATACATTTTCATAAATAATCTTACATCATTTTTGGGTGTTGTTGCATTATTATTTTGCGTAATTGGCATTGTTCAAGAGATAAATTTTAGTGAAAAAATGAAATCTACAAAAAAAAGTTCATATGATAGTTCAAACATATATTTAAATAGATTCACATGAAATCTGTTGTAAAACATACAGACAAGTGTCAAATGAGTCGTCAACGACACCGATCATCACGTATACACGCCTACGTTACATATAATATTTGTTTAGTATATACAATAGAGATCAACGAACGGAAGTGTCACATCGCGATCACATCGAATGAATGAATGAACTCTACTGTGGACAGATCGGCATTCAATCAAAACTGTATTGAACTTTTTTTCTATGCATGTTCTCTTCAAAGAACAGGAAAAGAAAAAAGAAGTCTATGAAACGCAAAAGGAAAATCTGATGACTCATCATCGATGGATTAAGGAGGCCATGCAAACTAATAGAGCAATCATTACTCTCGACTAGATACCTGTTTATATACAAAATTTCTTATCAATTTAATTTTCTGATATTAAGAAAAAAAACCAGCTCAATCCTAGAGTAAAATAATTAGAATCTAATCAAAACTATCTTGTATTCTTCCTTAAACTACTGCCATCTATTTAATAAAATCCAAAGTTTTTTTTGTATTCATTCCTTTTAAAGTTCATTTTAAATAAATAAAATTATTTTTTTTTATGATTATTTTTTTCATATTCCATGGAATATATCAATTGATTCATGTAATGCGTAGTCTTATTATCATCTGGCATTTTCATTCCGTACTTTCTCCGTCCTGAAAAATAACCAATAAGATTGATTTAATTTTTCATTGACAATCATTCAAATGGATAATACATCAATACCAACAACACCTGGTGGTTCGGTTGGAGATGAATGGCATGATGCTTCAGCAGATAATAGTCCAGCAACGAATGAATCTTCATCTAAAACAGGATCATCAATAGTGTCAGAAACGAAAACAAATATGGAAACAAAAGAAAAACGTTCTATGCATTTTAGCAAAAACATTGATATTAATGTTGATTTAAATATAGGTCCAGCACCTTTATCAGATGAAGAAAAAGCTATTAAAGAACGTGAAGAGTGTGACTATTCAATTAAAATTACTTTAGATATGGCAAAAAATGGTACGGCACCAAGAAAAATTCGTATTTATGCTGATGGTAAATAAAATCTTATTTATTTTTTTTTTGAATGATTAATTTCATTGTAAAAAAAAACCAATTAGGTATTTATGACTTATTTCATGCTGGTCATGCACGACAATTAATGCAAGCAAAAAATATTTTTAAAAATGTTTATCTTCTTGTTGGTGTTTGTAATGATGATTTAACACATAGTAAAAAAGGTAAAACAGTTATGGATGAAGCTGAACGTTATGAAAGTGTACGTCATTGTCGTTATGTTGATGAAGTTGTTATTGATGCACCGTGGGTACTTGATGATGAATTCTTAACACAGAATAAAATTGATTTTGTTGCACACGATGAAATTCCATATGGAGCTGAAGGAAGTGACGACATTTATCAACATATTAAGGTAAAATAGATAATTCATTTGAGTTAAAGATAATATTCGGCTTTATTCTTAATTGTAAAATTGAATATGCATAATAGTTCTTGTCAAACAAACAGAACTTAAACAGTGGTTATCTTTTGAGAAGGATGTTTTCGATATAATAGTTCGATTCATATATTTATGATCTAATACATCACTATCAAATCCTTGGTGAAACACGAGCTATAAAAAATGTTGAAATATAGTAGTAAAAAAAATTGAACCCCCACAGTCCATAATAAATATCTCAGCACAATTCCGCCCCGTGTATTACAGGCATCTCGTTACGATATATGCACTATATCATTATTACATTTTTGGAGTGTTGAGTAAAAGGATGGTGAAGAATTATGTTTCAAAATACACAGAATAGAAAAATGTTACTGAGGTTAGCAAGATCAGTTGAATTGTATAGTTTACTTTTAAAAAACTTTCTTTCATTTAATGCAGATATCATTGCAAATTTGTATAATACTTTTTCGGCCATATGCTGTAACATGATTTCTATTATCATATTTTCTATTGTTCTCTAAGACTCATCAATAAAATGCAAATCAAATGGAAATAAATATATTATATACAATAGAATATATAGAAGTGCAGAGGCGTGAAAACTTCGAAATGAGCCATTATCTTTGACTTACTCATTATTTGTATCAGAAGCGGATTGAAGAAAATTGATGACCTTTGCATGCATGCCAATATTTTTAATAAGAATTGAAAGACAATTTTGAATTGAATGGTTCTCTTTTCTTTTTTTTTTTTATTATTACGAAAACGGTCATTTATATAAATTAGTGAGATCAGCACAATTTTGCTAATGATAGGACTCGTGGAAATTTATTCAATTTGAGGTGATGACGGCATTTCATCTCTGTCACTGTTAAATCCCTAGTGCGGATCTCTTTCGTTCTAAAGCATAAGAAATCTTTTGTCTGATGGTTGAATTCTGTCGTCTAATGATGAATCTCATCCTACTGTAGTTACACCATTAATCCGATATTAACCAAATTTGATACGATCTCACAAATGGGTATCGCAATTTGAAACTAATCAATCTATAGAATTTATAAATTGATCTTTATTTCAATCGAATCATATGCTCAATTCTAACGGAATTCTTTTTAAAAGAATGCATAAATACTAATTATAAATACAAATGTATTCTTTAGGCTCGTGGAATGTTTGTTGCAACTCAACGTACAGATGGTGTATCAACATCTGATATTATTTGTCGTCTTGTACGTGATTATGATATGTATGTAAGACGAAACTTAGCTCGTGGTTATTCGGCACAAGATTTAAATGTTGGTTTTATTAAAAAAAATCAATTAGAATTTCAATCGAAAATTGATACAGTTAAATCAAAATTTCGTACATATGAAGAAGAATCAAAAACATTTATGGAACGTTGGGAAGATCGAAGTAAAGAATATATACATAATTTTATTGCTTTATTTGAAAAAACAGGTGTTCTACATTTATTGCAACGATCACAATCACCATTTACGATAACAGGTGGTCATAGTGGTAGAAGTGATACAGACGATGACGATATAACATCATCAAAAAATATTCATTATGATAAGAAATCAAAGAAACATGATAAAAGAACTAATGCAAACAATTAAATCTCATCGTTTGAACATTATATGCTTGCTTAATATGTATTTGCAGAACATTTATGTATGATTTTCTGGTTTTTTTTCTTTTCAAACAAATATTTAACGGAACTCGCATATAAAAATCCATTGCTTGTGATTTTGTTTTTTATTCGTATTTTATTGCAAAAAAAAAATAAGAACAAGGATTTCATTGTCATATCAATGGTTTCTTTTTTTTTGTCCGGAAAATATAGTTAATCATTGCATAGCTTTCATCTATGAGTAGAATTATAATGAAGAAAAAATTTTGTTTGGTTCTCATATTCGATGTACGAAGTCAAATAACCATTCTTGGAAGAAAACAGAAAGAAAGAAAAACTAAATACTAACAGAACAAGAGTGAAAAAGAGAGTGGCACTCATGACATTATATGAAACAAGAAACACTCGTTAAGTTCAGTGTTCGAACGTCAATAATCTCATGTGAAGGAAGAAAGAAAAAATTGCTAAAAGAAGACGGAATATAAAAAGAGAAAAAATATTGGCCGTCTTGCTTGTTGCTCTGCTTCTCACGATTGACACGACTGGTATGTACTTTTGTCTTATATTTTACCTATGTAGAACGAGAAAAAAACAAATTTTGTTTCTACATTTATTCTACACAAACTCATATAAATCACAATTTAGAAAAAAGTGTACTGATTAAATGATCGTTAATTGTATAATAAAAGAAACAGCTCTCATTATTGAATTTTTTTACGATGAAATAAAAAGAAAAACACATCGATGAAGTACTACTCTATATATATATATATAATTATTTTCTTTTACATAGAATCTACTTTAGTAAATGAAGAAAACATTTTCTATGGATTGCTTAACGATATTCTTCGACATAAGAGTATTTTTATCTATCCAAAGAAAGTATTATGACAATATAACTATGTAAGAATCATAGAATATTTACTATTAATGGTAATAATAACGAACATGTCAACAAAAATTTTCTTGATAGCACTGCTATACATTAATCATCATTAGCAATTTTCACTATCATAGTTATCTGTTTACATTTTTCATATATTCGATAATGATTAAATAAAACTTCTTTCGATAATCAAATATTCGTATTAAATAGTATTAGTAAAAGGAAATAAAATCCTAAAATCAATTGCAAAAAAATACATTTTTAGAAATTTTATTATAAACACTTATAATTCTCTATATTAAGCTTTCGGCGAGTCTTCCGTTGCACTATCAGAAAAATAAATAATGCAGGAAAAAAAAACGAGAAAAACAGATAAAAACGACAAGTACTGATAAAACAAAATGTCTAGAAAAAAATAAACCGGAAACTCATTGAATATCTGTTCTTTCGTTCTTCCTACATATTTTTTTATCAGAACGTATAAGTTTTCATCTTGTTTTTTTTATGCCATTCATTATACTGATATTATCAAGTGTTATCCGTCAGAAGCTCGGAATAGAAAATAGTAAGTGTTTTCAAGTAAATTTCAATATATATTTTTGTTTGCCAGTATTTATTTCGAAACGTGCACATTAACTTATTGTAAATTATATGTAATTATTCAAAGTCATGTCTAAATTTTGGAGCTTGTTAAAGAGTTTTCAATCTTATGACATGTCTTCGAATTTTATGTATTTTTACAGGAGACTTGTAAATGTCTGAATACACAATACTGGACGAAATTTTTTAGATGATTTTGATTGAAGTATAACTTTTTTCGTAAGCTAAATTTTTATTTGACAAATTGACTCATTTATTTTGCACAGTTGTTAAAAATTGCTACAGCTATATAAATAAAAAGAGCAAAACATAAACTACATTTTGATAACTAAAAACAAAATGTTTATGAAGTGAAATGTCGATTTCATAATAGAATTCATGTGAAATTTTTGTCATTCTTGCACAATTAGTAATTTTTCTATCGAAATATCTTATTTGAAAGAGCATCTGACACTAAATATTTCAGAAAATGACCTTTCAAAATCGAAAACTTGTTTTTGGATGACTTTATATCATCTGCTGTCTCATGCACCGTCAGACGCTCTTTCGAATATTATATTTGTAAATTCTCTGTGAACATAGTATAAGCACTAATTGCATTTTTAATGCCAACAACAGCTCACAAGTTGACCTTATGAGAAAGATATAATTAAATCAAAACCGTCCAAAAAATTTTATCTAGTATTGTATTGTAGAATATTTTATATTGAGTAAAATCTAAAGAGGTTATACAGTTTTCAGATTCAGTAAGGATCGAATTTTCCAGCTACTTTGATCATATTTGTTAGCCTCCTGAGATTATAAAACATCAATATAAAATTATGCTCACGAAGCGTTATTAATTATGATCGTTTTTCATGAATTAAAATTCTTTTCTTTTCATCTACCGAAAACAATTGTTACTTTGAAAGCACAGCTTCAAGAATCTGCTCGAATAGAAATTCTGTGAATTGCCTTAACAGTAATAACTAGAATGAATTTCGATCAGATGAAGTTTTTTTTTTTCAACATTGATTGAAATTTCTGAAAGAAAAGGTCAGCTATATGAATTCAAGTGGAAACGTTTTGTAGATACGTGCTCCACTTATGGTAAAAATATCTTTGAAGAAAATAAGATATTTTCGAAATCAGCGTGACTTTTCTTCATCAAATCGTTCTCAATTTATGCAACACAATGACACAGTTTTTCATTGTGTTTGCTTTTCAAAACGTTGAAGTGTTTTATGCTTAGGGGTCTTTCATAAATAGAGCGCAGTTTGATGAAGAAAGGTCACAAAGAATTCGAGAACGTTTCATTTTACTCAAAAATTCTTATTCTATTAGATAAATCTATTTACAAAACATTTTCAATAAATGTCAAAATAGGAGTCTTAAAAGATTTTGACATCGCGAAGAACTCTCATCTATGGTTCTTGATAGTTTTTACTTTTAAGAAGGTCTCAAATTTTCACAGTCATTCGTTCTATAAAAGCTCAAAATTCTCACAGAGATGACGTAAAAAGTGAAGACTGGTCTTCTCCAAACGCGGTCACATCTACACTTATGCTTCCACTTAGATTCAAATATTTTAATTTGCACTGAAAAAAACATCTCTTCCAATAGAAAATTCTCTTAATTATACAAGCTCGTTCTAGGTATTACTATTACAAACATACAACTATGCTAAAAATTTTGTACCTACTTTATATTATAATTTACTGACAAGGTTTTATTACATTTTATTCAATCAATATAAAACAAAACAACGTAAATGCCGTATTTTTACTATGAAGTAGAGCAGGTAAATATCAATGAATCGATCGTAATTTTATCAACGATATTTGTTTTTCTTTCCCCAGCTATAACACTATTCTAATGTCAACAAGATAAACAAATAACACAAGCGATCGATGTATGATGTGAAAATTAAAATGTTCTGCCATAGTTTTGTTAAGAACAATAAATGTTATTGATAAAATGACGATATTTTCAGTGAGTTTTCTATGCTTTAGTCCATAGTAAAAAAAATTCGATATTTACTGATTTTTTTTCATATTGCTTGAACATTACACAATACAGTCTTTTGTTAGAAATTAATTATGCAGAAGTGTATATTTGAAGCTTTATACGAAACTTTTAATTCATAGGTTTTTCCGAATATACTGAATTTTCAGCTCTAGCAAGTTCTCGAGACTGCTCTGCTGCTAAAGTAGTAGCATTTCCGGTAGAAAAAAAAACAATGTTAACCGACGAAGGACATCATAATGAACAAAGTTTCGTGAATAGAAATTTGTTTTAATGCTTTGTAAACATAGTCAATAATTGAGACGAAGTCTACACATAAAGAATCATTCGATAGTCATATGATCAATTTTTCGACTCACTTTTTTAAAAAGTAACAGAAAGCTTTAATACATAAGGATCTCATAATAATTTTGAAGAGAACCAAAAATAAACGTGTGACCTTGAGATTTTCAATAATATGCATGATGTGAAGAATAGCATTTTTATTCAAAACTGATACTCGTTTTAGAACTATTCAATGATAAACATGCTGATATAAAAAGTTGTCAGTCCAGATTGTTTAGGACTCAAATGAAGAATTCACATTTGTTCTTTAGACTCATTATACTAATACAAGATATATCCAATGAAAAATCTCTAGAAAACTATTGCTGTATTCTAACGTTAATTGACTATCAGGAAAGTGATCTGCCTTAATTATTTCTGCGATTCGAAGAGATCCTTTCTTTTTACTATTCCTTTATTTTTCTTAAATTATTATTGTTTATATGCTAGCCATCGATTTAACAGTCAAATGAGTCTGTTACAGATATCCACTATATCTATAGAGAATTTCAACACACTCTTGTATACATCTATAAGCTCAGAAACACTGATATAAATCATTTTCCAAACTTATCACTTGATCAGTTCATGGTTTTTTCCATGGAAAGAAACTTTGATGAGAATAGTTTCTTTTGAATGTATTAGAACATTAGATCTGTTCCAATCTCAAAATATATCTACGGTAAAAGCGCGCCTTTAACATTGTTTATCTAGACATGTAGATTTGAAATTTCATTTTCAGGGAAGGAGTAGATAAATTGGTCTAACACTTTTACAATAAACTATACTCACTAAGGCTTGCTTCTGCGCAAAGTTTCAAGTCAAAATTCGAAAATCAACTTTCCAGATGTCCCTGAGCGAAACCACGGAATTTTATGAAAAAAAATACCATGAAAATACAATACGTCAGCAGCAATAAGCAACGGGTCCAAACTCTTTTCAGCGTATAGAGAATCCATTAAGGTCTAAATGATACACATTCTTTCGGTTCAAAAAGTATTAATCAGCTGAAGGACTTAGTGTTGCTTCGCTGCGAGAGAAACATATCCAGTAATTGTCGATCTTGCAAAGCTGCAACTTAAAAATTGCACAGGGAATTTCTCTTCGAAAAACATAATGTGGATTCCAAAAAAATTGAAAAGGAACTTTATTTTTCCAACTGTAGAAACTTTAGTTAGAAATTTCTCAATTCAGCTGTTAGAGTTAACAAATTCTTGGATATCAAGATAATGTCATACAACTTCAAAAGTCTTTTGTTCCTCGTCTAATAGAGGAAAAATGATTTTTATTCTCTAGATCACACAATTTTCGACTAAGTTATATTAGTAATTCTAATATTTCAAATAAGTCCTTGTCTTATTTAGTTTTTTTGCTTTAGTGAGAAATCTTTTATTCAAATAAACGATTTTATGTCTAATATCTATTCTATTGAATTAAATTCCACAAGTTTATACTAATGTTAATGCAAAACTAAAATAACATTAAATAGAAAATGGATAAACGTATTCATATAAGACGATCAACAAGTCTTAGTTGTTGGAATTATTTATTTCATTTTAAATGGCCTCTATTCGGATTTATATGTCTTATAATTTTTATTTTATTAAATAAAATGCAATTTACTTCCGATATATTTTCTTCTGTTGAATATAACGATAATATTAAAATTTCATTTACTAATGTTATATATCCGATTGATATTTTGAATCGAAATAATATTAATACAAGTATTTTATATTATTTTGCAAGAAAAGACGAACAAAAATTAATTGATGATGAAAAATCAATTGATAGAAAACATAAAATAATATTACCATTAACAAATGATGAAGTTTTCTCAAAATCTTATTCAATACTTGAATTTACACCTGTCTTTGGACACTCACGTTTTTGTTCACATTCAAAAGAAGATATTTTTGGTAAAACATGTCCTTATACAAATTGGCAAGTTTAATGAATATTGAAAATAAATAATTCAAAAAAATATTTTTGATTTTTTGTTTAATTAGTGAATATACATGTGATAAAAAACATCAACAAGATGTAGATGTACTTTTAATGCATAAACGAGATTTAGATTTAGAAAAACTTGAAAAGCTGAAAAGAAATCCGGAACAAATTTGGCTTTTATGGCATGATGAACCAAATGAAAATTCACCAGATATTAATAAATATAAATTTAATTGGACTGTAACATATCGAATGAGTGCTGAGGCATCATTAGGTGCTTATGGTATAACAATTGTGAAAGAAAAACCATGGTCGATAAAAAAATTTAACACATGGATTACAGAACAATTTTATAAAAGATATAACCAAGCAGTCTGGTAAAATTTTTAGAATTTAGATAATCAACTAGATTAATGAAACAGTTTATAAAGAGACAGATATAGCAGAGATTTCAGTCTTGAAATATAGGGTAGAAATTGCGAACGCCGGTTCCACTTCTACAAACCTGACAGGCATCGTTAGTAAAGTCTTTCTGTCATCATAGGTCATGACAGACATTGTTGATAAACGATCGCAGATCGTATATAGATAAAATCTCGTTATAATGCATCAACTACTTCTTTACTGCATTACTGAAGCATTAAGTAAAAGGATTATAAAGAAATGTGTCCCACTATAGACAGCATAAAATGGTCTTCTTGTGTTAAGCAAAAATAGGGTTAATTTTGTCGAAAGAAAAAAAAATGTCGAACGAAAAATAGTAAAAATAATGTAAAGAAAAACACGGTGAAAAAAGTTTATTTTGAGATTCTCCACCAGCTAGATGAATATATTTTATTGCATATTACAAAAAAGTCAGAAACGTATAAGTACATCAACAAGAGATAATAATGTATGAAAAATATTCAAGAGCAAAACTAACGATAATAAAATACGTTTCTTTATCTAAATGAGTGGTGTGACTGTGCTTGTCCGTGTGGACTGTACATGTAGATATCAATCTTCTCTTTACATCTACTCCTACAGCAATATTCGGATCTCGTCCTCAACAGAGTCACTTAATGATATCTGAAACATTTTTCATATTTTTTTAAGACTACATATTTCTTGTTCGATTTTATATGGTTGATATTTTTTGCGACATTTTTCATTTGGCCATTAGCAACAGCAACTGCATTGTTTTTCGCATTTTAATCTCACAAGAATTCCGCTAATAGCTTTTAAATATATGTTGAAGTCTCATAAAGTCTGTTGAAGCTTGTTGTTTCTTCTTCGGCTTATAATTGCATAATGTTCAAGTTTCTTGATTTTGTATCAAAGAAAACACATAAGACATTAACAGTACTTCGAATAGCTCGATGCCAAACTTCAGAAGAACGTAGGCGTGAAGCAAGAGAAGAAGAACATCCATGCCTACTCTTAGAAATAACGAAACGGGATAAACATAGATTTTTTGATAAAAGATAAAAACAACTAATGTCGACTTTTCATTTGATAATAATAGACTTATAATTTAAACGAGTACGATCTCTGTTTCATTTTCGATATGAATGTACACTTATTCAAATACAACTATTTTCTTGTTTTTCTTAAATTTGCCAATCATAGCTGTTGTTTTTTTCTTATAGAAAGGATATATTTCATTCTTTTGACTCTTATCTCCTTCTTCTCCTTTAGGTTTGTGTCTAACTGCAGACCACAAAAACGTCTACAAAAATTTCGTTCCCTGCGACAACATTATCCAATTGTAGCTTTTGGTAAATGTATTCCGTCGAACCAAACTTTATCTCTTGATGCACATGTTCAATCCCAAACTCAATGTGATCGTCAATCAAATTGTGAAAATCTTTATTTAACAACATCAAAATTTTATCTTGCTTTTGAATCACAATCATGTACAGATTATATAACAGAAAAATTTTGGCGTACACTTTTTGTTGGTGCTATACCAATTGTAAGTGGACCTGAACGAGAAAATTTTGCACATATTGCTCCACCGAATTCATTTATTCATGTTGATGATTATTCATCAGATAAAGAACTAAGTGAAGCATTAAATTTAATTGGTACAAATCGATCTTTATATGAGAAATATCATGCATGGAGACGTTACTATGATGTGTATTATCAAGCAAAAGATGTTGATCCATATCGATTTTGTGAATTATGTTATCGTTTAAATACAAATAAACAACGTATTTGGTATGAAAATATTAATGATTGGTTTTTAGAAAAATGTTGAATAATTAAAAACTTATTTTTTAGTCAGATTCAATTTTAAATTTTATGTTATCTTGTAGCGTTTGTTTTTTAAGCAATAAAAATTATTTCTATAGAATATTGGATTTTTAGAAAAGTATTCATGAGAGATATTTTGAATGACAATTGTAATTGAATTCCTCTTTGCGTAAAATTCTTGTTAATTTGATAGAATTTGTTTCAACATATCATCATTGAAAACAAGAAAAAATCTCATGAACCCAGATTTGGAGAGTGTAGTGGGTTTTCACATGAATTTCGACGCATAATTCAATGACAATTCAAAGTTGATGGACTCTCCATTTCACAATACAATGTACTCTACTACTTTTTAGAATAAATTTTGATAGTAACAACACAGAGATCTGCAGTTTCGCAATTCAAGAAAGAAGATCCGGGACCATTGAAATTTGATCCGTTAGCCATTGACTAATCAGATGAGTTTTTGATGAAGATTTTTGAAAATGATATGCTGTAGCTAACTCCATGTCGATTGAGCCAAGACCAACAATTCTAGCTTGTTCCATTCGAGAGCTGTAAGACTTTTCCTGAAACTCTTGGCTTCAATCAATTGACCTGTGATCACTCGGAAAACCAGTTAGAAAGGTATAATTCACGGTATTGAGTCAAATCATGATATTTAGTTTTAAGTTTGAAATGATCTGACTATGCTATGCCAATATTTCTGGAATTTCACAATCAGTTTTTATGTAACGAAAGGGTCGACATCTCCGAAATATTGAAATAACCACGTTGACTTTGCGTAGATCGAATGAGAACAATTTGTTCTATGGATTAGCCTTATTAAAAGACAAAGCTGAAGCTAACATAGCTTTAGAATATTCTTTTTGAAAATATTTCCACTAAAAAGTCACCACATTCGTCAACGGCTGACTGATTATATTTCGATTGTTCCGGGCCTTCTCTCTTGAATGGTGAAAAAAGCAGGTCTCTATATTGCCGTGATCAAAAGTTATTCGAAAAGCAGTGAAGCACATTATATTGTGAAATGGCTCGTAGTCTCGCATTATTATTATACCAAATAAGCTCTCGTATATGACTGTATTGTCTTCGTTTTGATATGGTTTGGACGAGTTTTAGATTGGTTTTTTATAGTCAGAGTCTTGACTCCTTTCTTGTTTTCGAATGATAGTAATAGAATCATAATTTATCATTAGTAGTAAAGTCAGATGCAGGACAAAATCGATTTTGATAGATATTTGATTGAACAAGAAAAAAGCAATATATGAAAAATATTTTATTTCAGATTTTATGTACTCTTTTTCGATGAACGTCTTGATTCACTTGTTGTTGATCTTGAACTACTATCAATAGAAATATTTACAATATTTGGAATAATGTTTATAGTAGATAATGATGATGAAGATTTTTTTTCAAGTTTATATTGTTTTTTGTTTGACTGCGTCATTGATGGTTTGACCATAGTCTTAAACGATTGTTCGGCTGATAATTGTTCAACTATGTCAACGACATTCTTATCATCTCCTATGGTTAAGCATAGGGATACGAGTTGTTGTTCGATTTTTTTATTAGTTTCATATTGTAAACGTACATCAATATCAAGTTCATCTTGTATAATATCTTGAATATCTCGTTGTTGTCGAATAATTTGTTGAAAACGCTTAATCTATTATTAAAATTGAACTGATTTTTAAGAAATGGAAAATTTAATTTTTTTTTTTGATACAAACAATTTGATCAGCACGATCAATTTTGACATAATATTGTTGAATTTCATCTTCAAGTTTTATTTCAATATGTCGTTTTTTTGTAATAGCTTTACTCGTTTGTTCTATTTCTTCTTGAAACATGATCAAATCGGTGTGGCATGTCTAGTTTAATTAGTAATCAATAAATTGTAATTCAGGAAATTTGTTTTTGACTTGTTCTCGTAGTCTTTTTCTTAAGAATGTTCCTTTTTTTTTTAATAACTTTTTGTCCTCGATAAGAGTGCAATCAAGTAGGCTGGACTTTTTACAACAAATAGAGCTTCTGAAATAAGTAGACGCATTGTTCAGAGAATCCTAGTTTTCCATGGGATCGTAATCCCGGTACATTATGACTGGTAGTGTAAGTCAATACATTGATTGATGACAGATGAAATTTTTCGAAAATTTTTCAAACATTTCGTTAATTCTAACTAATCTTGAAATGAAAAAAAAAAGGAAGAAAACGATACTTGAGAACGTATTTAGAAGAAACTATACGGTAGCATCTCCAAAGCTGATTTAGAATGTCAGAACTTTTTAAAATCGAATATTCATTTTTATATAGCAATTTAATTGCTTAAGCGTTGATGGAGACTCAGCCGATTGCTTTACACCTCTAATTACAACCTTCCTATAACTTTGTCCCATCGCGCCAAAATTTTTATCACAGATACTTGGTATCATTTTCCACTGGTAGAATCAGTCACTTTCGTTTTTGGATTTCGTGTTCATAGTTATACGATTCTAGAAGCTAGAACCCTGATTTTGACTCTGAAATTTTACATATTTCTTTCATAAAAAAGAGAGTGAGGTTTCTGAAAAAGCTCATAGTTACCCATCAGATATGGTCTTTAGTGTGTTCGACAAATATTTTTCAGCTCAATCGGACAAAATTGAAGAAGGAGTAGTAATGCTTCAGGATGCGGCGCCATGGAAAATTAGAGTTTTCCAAAAATCTGCTTCAAATTTTTTTCCATGAACATGTGTCTGATTGTTTTAGGTGCTTTATCTGTGGCAAAAGTTTCCGTCTGATTGTTCGTACCCTTTTTCTTAGCTAGAAGTGGTTTAAATAGACAGGGACACTCTTAAGAGTATTCGATTGAAGAGTATAGGTATCTTACGGAATCATGTCTGTCAACAAATTCTTTAAGTAATTTTCGACGAATTTTAACTTGTTCTGTCACAGCTCGTAAATGTTCTTCAAGTTCGTTCATTTCATTTATTTCTGGACCTATAGATGATAAAATAGATTGTTGAATCAATCAAATTTATATTTACTTGAGTCATTTAATTTTTCAAAATTTTTTTTTACATCAGTATTATTCCATTTTAAAATTTGTACTGTATTTTCAAGAGCTCGCAATTCAGTTTCAGCTTTAATAACAAGTGCTTCTAATTGATCACCTTGTTTTAATAAATCTTCTTTCATTTGTGCAGACTATACTAAATAAAACAGCAAGATCTCTTCATGTTTATGAACAAAGACTATCAAAAAAAGAAGTATTCATATACCTTAATAACATATTGAGCTTGTGCTAAAACATTATCTTCATTCAATTTCTCGGTATTTAGTATTATAGCAAAAGTTTCATAGCGTTGTTTTAGCTTAGATACTTTAGTAATACGCATCGCAAGTTCAGCTGAAATAGTATCTTTTTTAGTTCGTTCATCGTTGAATCGTAATCGAAATAAATGACTATTTGCTTGTACTTCCATACGACGTTCTTTGATTGCCTATATTAAAAGTTGTTCCAGAAAATTGAATTTTAGTTCGAATTAATATTCCGTCTAAACATGAGAGAACTCACCCATTTTTCGTTCCAATCCCACAATCGTTTTGCCATTCGACTTTTATGAAGTAGTGCTCTTATTAGAGTTCTGTGGGACGAAACGAAAGAGCTTTTTTCAGGATGCAACACTGTTTCTCAAAACCTTCGTTTTTGCGCGTAATTGTACATCAAGACATAGAGGATGCTAAGAGAGATATCTTTGAATCCATAGATTTTTTTTTACTTCGAAAACTAATAATGAAAATCAACTTTTCCTATATAATCTGTCGACAATCTGCAAGAAATTAGCTAGTTTGACGAAAGAAATACAACTTTATTCTATATGATTCTGCTAAAAACTCATGAGGAAAAGAATTTTCTTTTCGAGAATTTTTACATGCATTAATCAATAATGATTGGCTATAAATATTTGAGATCAAATAACTGATATTGTTCAAGTTGACTGATAGTCTATATTGTATATTTGTTTCTATTAAAAATGTACGGGCCCAAGTTTCTTTAGTTCTGATCTCAGTAAATCTTCCCTGGTCCCAATCCTAATAATTTCAGCTTTTCAAGTCACGAACAAAAAAACTTTATTTGAGAATTCATTTTTATTGCATGAGAAAAAGCTCTTTAATAATAGTTTTTCAATTTATTTAGTCGATGATTTGCACGACTTGTGTCATCTCGACCGAATTATGCTTTGATTAATGTAGCTTATAAGATAATTCATCTAAAATCCTAGGACACTCAGCTATAATCCTTGGTTCCAGTTTTGTTCTAATGTTCCGGATCACCACAACTTCTCTCATTGATGAATCTAAATTCAGTAAATTTTCAAACACTTTGATCCCTCATACATCCCATGTAAAAAAAGACGCCCAAAAAATCAGATTATAATCGATTATAATGGCACTATTATAATCGATTATAATCAGATTTTTCAGCATTAAAAGAAGAAATTATTTTGATTTAATCTTTTTTAATCTATATTAATCAATTACCAAAATTTAACAATCAGTTTTAATGGATTAAATTTTGGTAATCGATTAAAATAGATTAAAAAAGATTAAATCAAAATAATTTCTTCTTTTAATGCTGAAAAATCTGATTATAATCGATTATAATAGTGCCATTATAATAGATTATTAATCCGAAAATAATCCATTATAATCTAATTTTGAGCGTTTTTTTTTTACATGGGATCTATTCTCAGCAAATACATAGGCTGATAAATGTCTACCGATAAAAACCTCGCTTTCTTTTTTGTAACCTTTTCATGAAAATGAACTTTGGAGGCTTATTCTGGTATTCATAAGAATAAAGAAAGACCAGGTCCAATCTCTTTATATTACAAATATTTTGAATAAATATTTAAAGCTAATTAAGAGTCGAAATCAGTGATTCTGATATGAAGTTTATTAGATTCGGATATTTCTAAATAAACTCAAGAACATATGAATGTGGAGAATCATTTTACC